CCTACCCTCAAGGAGATCAACACACCCACATCTCTTAATCTCATTGCATGCATGTGAATCCTCCAAAAGCTGTAACACTGTAACTTTTGGGCCAATTGTATACACAAGCAATTTTGGGCTAGAAGAAGTGGGCTAGAACATCCCATCCCATTACTATCTGCAAACAAATGTTTTTATTTTAAACCAAGGATATGAAACTGTCAGTTCTTTAGAATTTGACCATAAAATGGAAGTCAAGTCTGTGGCTGACATTTTAACTTATGGAAACAGAATTTTAGTAGCTACTAATTTGTTCAATTAAAATACTAATAGTTGACTTTTCACTTATGGTAGGTTAATTGGAAAGTGCTTGTATGAAATCTAACAAGCTACTAAGGGATGTTGAAAAGCCTGCAAGTGCTGTGCATGTAAGGAAATGTGAGGCTATTGTGTTACCTTGTTTTTTTGGGGAAATAAATCTTACATGGTTATGATGGCAGCCTGTTTGTCAGGCAGACATCAGACAGTCTTGACTTTTTGATCCATTGACAGTTTTAAAGAAATATGAGTTAGAGTTCTCAAAGATACAGAATTCCTGTAGCTTTCATGAAAAGTGGTGATTACTTAGAGATCAAAATTATTGTTCCCCTTTTCCTCTTTCACCAAAGTCAGAGAGAGTGCAGCAGTCATCTTCTGTTTGGCTTTTTAGTTAGTTCATCATATGCACAAATCTGAACCAAAGCACCTCCACTGTTGACACAGGGAGCTGGTGCTGAAGGAAGGGAACGCATAGGAGATTTGGGGAAGAATAGAGGATATCGTAGTGGGGAAAAAACTGTGGAACAGACATGGGCTGTTGTGATAGACAGACATGCCCGTAAGGACATGAGGATAATAATTTTGCTGCTCATGAAGTAAATGTTTGTATTCAGCATTAACCTATGATGGAGGCTTAACTGTCCTAACAAACACACTAACAAACCTCTCTGGAGAGGCTGTATTCTAGAGAAGTAGATAACTGAGTTGCTAAGAAGGTTTACTGGCAGAGGTCATGTTGTTTTTTTCTTATGTGTTCAATCAACTGATCTCTCACCACCATTACACCAAGCTATTAGCAGTCTATGTAACATGTCGAATTTGGGCTCTGGGTTGCAGGGTTAGATATAAGTCTGAGCTTCCATCTCAATTGTAAGGAAGAAGTGTTGCATTTGTCTGTTACTGTTCTTTTACAATGTGTTTGCGGCACTTAGAAGATGAAATTAATGTAGCTCACTTTTTCCAAATTGATTATGTTACAGCTTAATACATCTCTAAATTGTTGGGTTTAGTGTCTTTATAAGCTTCTGAATTGTAGCTGGCATCTGATGTTCATCTGTGTGAAAATCACAGCTTCTTCGAAGTATTCAAGTTGCAAACTTCACTCAGAATCTTAATCGTCAGCATCCAGTGGGTTACTCTGTTTTGTTACACACATGGATGATTTACTTGCAACCAGCTCCATTATCCTGGTGGAACCTGGTTATAGTCCCTCCTGCTAGTTCACATGTGTCAACCTTGATACCTCTGGGCTCCTGAAACAAGACATAATGGAATATGGGTACTGGAAATTGTATTTCAGAAGGTCTGTCTCTTTCAGAAAGGGAAGAGCTATGAAGGTGCTTTCTCTTTCTCTTCAGAACTTGAGTATAAAATCAGATTCATATAATTACATAAACTCCTGCCCTTTTCTGAGTGACTGCCTTAATTCTAGTTAAACAGTAGTATTTGCGTCTGGTGTCAACCTCTTTGGAGAGGGTCAAAACTGACACTGAGTATTAACAAATTCCCCAAAGTGGTTATCAGAATTCATCACTTCTGTGATGTTGCATCCCAAAGTGTTTGCAGTATCATGTCCTTACTCCCTGTCCTAAGGTAGCATTTCTGTCTCCCTTTTTTTTTAGGTAGAAAACTACCAATAGTCTGAGCATGCAAATTTTATAAGAAAATAATTATTATTTTTTTATTTATTAGAATTGTGGCAATTCTGTGAGGTTTTGTCCAAGAAGGCTGAATAATTTCATGCACACAGTCTTCATTAGTGCTAATTTTTGAATTAGCAAGGTAATTAGGGAAATGGTGCTCTCGGTATAATTAGGTAAAAGAGCAGCCCAGTGGAGCCTGCTGTACAGGAAGATGAGCTGAATTTGCAAATGCACCTACACTTGTAATCCATTCAAATAAAATGACCATAACTGTATGGGAAGTAACTTGCTTTTTTTTTTTTTTTTTTTATGCTGCATAGAGCATCTTTGAAGAAAACTTTTATTACCAAAGATGATCAACATTTATATTGTGCTTTCAGGATGATGTTTCACTGAATGGATATAAAAAATATTTGATATCACAGTCCTCCCCTGCGCCTCTGACTGCAGCAGAAGAGGAACTTCGACAAATTAAGATTAATGAGGTACCTACAATGTCTTTGAGCATGGGTGGGAGACTGGGTGCAGAGTTCCAAATATATTGTAGGGAAGAAGTCTTTCTTGGGTAAAAAAGGGCAGAATAGAAAATGGAAAGTTTCAGAAAGTTTGAGTGGATGAGAATATAAATTTATCTTTCAATGAGTTGAGATTGCAGGATGATGATGGCTGGAGTTAAAGCGGCATGATCTTGCTGAGTTTGCAAGGTCTAGTGTCTGAGTCAGATGCCTCACAACTGCAGAGCTTAGTTGTTGCAACTTTGGCCCTTAACATGTTTTTAATATCACTGGATGTGCTTTATTGTGAAGGATAATTGAACACTGGCACAGGTTGCCCAGACAGGTTGTGGAGTCTCCATCTTGGGGATATTCAAAAGCCATCTGGACAGAGAGCTGGGCAACTGCCTCTAGATGGCCCTGACTGAGCGGGGTGGTTGGACAAGATGATCTCCAGAGGTGCTTTCCAACCTCAACCATTCTATGATTGTCTATATGCACTCCCCATGGTGGCAGAAATTGTAGACACCAAATAGCAACTGTTGCAGTGAATTATTGCCAGGAGTATTTCAGCAGCCTTATCCCAACAGGGAATACACTTAGCTTCTAGCACCAGTTCATTTGTCTTTAAGACTGAGAGAAAGTGAATGAAATTCCAATAAAAATAAAATAGAAATCCAAAACAAGTAGCTCATCCTTTTAAGAGACGAATTTGCTTTTGCTACAAGCGCTTTATAGAAAAATCTCTAACAAATGCTTTTAACCAAATAATTTGATGATTAGTTCTGACTTTTGCTGCTTCATTACTAGTGTTAAATGTACTTGTGAAATTATAAAAGGAAGCCAATATATTCAAAAGCTAATACTTAGACAATAGTTCAGACTTGGGAAAACTGGAGGCCAGAGTTCATTTTGAGAGAAACTGCGTGAATATTAAGATAAACATAAATTATTGAAAAATTACTTTAACTGTTGTTTCCTCTCAAATTGTGATTAACATAAGTGGATTATGAACAGTTGTCTAGCTTGCAGTTACCCTGTTGTTTTTATTTTGTGTTAGACTTTCTAGAACTCAAAAATTAAGATTTTGTTTGTTTTGTTTATTCTCAGAATAGCTACTGCTAACTCTTTGTGTAACCATATGCAGTGCATTGTCAGATATTGTATGAAACCAAACAAATGCTTACAAAGGTTTCTGTTTACATCTCAATTGACTTGTGTTCCAGGTACAGACAGACGTTGGTGTAGATACCAAGCATCAAACATTGCAAGGAGTAGCATTCCCCATTGCTAAAGAAGCTATTCAGGCTTTGGAGAAATTGAAAAATAAGAAACTGAATTATGTACAACTGGCAAGTATAAAATATTTTAACTATTTTTAATAGTGAGTATAAAATAGATTACCCCCACATTAAACAATATGCGTTGATCACATACACTGATAAATTACCATTCTGTATTAGATTAACTCAATTTTATTTTCCATTCTGTCATGTTCTCTGGTTTGCTTTCTGTGTATAACTGTATTCAGGTTTGCTCTGTTAACAGCAAATTGATATGAAAAATGAAACAATTATTTTGGCCAACACACTTCATACTGAACTTAAGGACTTGCCAAAAAGAATTCCAAAGGATGCTGCGCGTTACCACTTTTTCCTGTATAAGCATGCCCATGAAGGAGACTATTTGGAATCCATAGGTATGAGAAAATTTCCCAATATGGAATTTTGTTGGCTTGTTTCAAGTACTTAAGTAATTTTGAGGCAGAGAGAAAGATGTGTCAGAAAAGTAATCTGTGTATCAGCATGAGCTTGTATTTCAGAGTCATTTGGTTGTGAAACTGACTTCTGAAGAGTCCTTATGTTTAGAAAGTAGTGAGCTATCCCTTTTGATTATGAACACCCATTAAAAAAAGATACTGGCCGTTCTCTTATCCCATATTTGAAATGAAACACTTGCTGAAGCAAAAAAGATCCAGAATGGTGTCACATTTTCCCCTCAGACTGCATAGTTGATTTGCAACGCCTCTCTGCTGTAAATTATTTTATGATACAGGTTTTGATGGAGTGTAGTTATGGCCTGATTTGTGGGTTTTTTTCTGCAGTTTTCATCTACTCCATGCCAGGCTATACCTGTAGTATACGAGAACGAATGCTCTACTCTAGTTGCAAAAGTCCACTGTTGGAAATTGTAGAAACACAGCTGTGGATGCAGATAATTAGAAAGGTAAGTACACTGGGAATATTGGTATTTTCTCCATACCTCTGTTCCCTTCTTAATATCTGTAACTGTCTCTGCCACCACCTTCTGTAAACAAATAAAAGTGTTGTATAACTATTAAAGTTTGTCCTGAACAAGAAATACTTCTTGATAAAGCTTCAGATACAAAGTTAAGTCATGGAAGCTTTTCTCTGGTTCATAATTCCTACACTTTTATAGTTTAAATAAACATATCCTTGTATGTCAAGGGAGTATCCGAGAGTACTTTGAAGGACTACTTAGAATTAACATGATTTATTACTAAAAGGCCTGTCATATTTTGAACCACAACACGTTGCTGTTGTTGAACACTAAATTCATTTAAAGACAAGGTTATTTAAGGATTTTCAAAATAATTTCAAGCTGCAGTTTTAAACTGCTATTTTAGGACTCCTTGATGGAGCAAACGAGGATTTGCAAGTAAGCTGATCTTTTCACATTGTATAGATCTTAGTACTATGCATGAAGATTAAGTTGCTTCTCACCTCCAGAGCAGAGACCACAGGAATGGTCGATTTGTGGAGTATGTGACCTGGTTACTTTCTTAACACATGTGCTGTAAATTTAGAAGAACTTTGAGGCTTGGCTTCTGTGGGGATTATATCTACCTAAAAAACAGCAGAGTTAATAGTAATGATTTTTACTGTGGTGACATGACTTAAGTAGGTTATGACTATGTGGTTTTATATGTAGTTGTTTCTCAGAAATTTTCTTTCTACAATAAAATAAATGCACAGTGTGACTCCTGAAATTCCCGTAGACATATTTCTGAAGCATGTTCTTGTAACAGCAATACTGTAGCTGGCAGGTTCATCAAGTGCTATGGTTGGCAAGTCGTGATGTGCTGAATGCTCGGCAGAGCAGGGCCAAAGCATTTCTCTGAATTCTAAATTCCTGCAATTCAAAACAGTGAGGTTTGGCTTGAGAACAGTATTTTCCTTACATTCAGGTTTATATGCTTAAATTTTAAAAACCAAAAGAATTCCCTTTTTTTGCTTATTAAATTTAATTTATCTTTTTCCTGGCTTGAATACTTGATAAGTTGCAGTAGCCAGCTAATCACATAAGCTGCTTGTATTCCTCCCCTTCTATCTCAAGAAACAAAAATATGTATGCACGTTGCTTTTACAGTTAGTGTTTAAACACGTTCTAGTGAAATATTTTCATCCTTAAAATGTGGAGATCATGTTGGGACATTGAAAAATTTTAATTTTAGAGGGGAGAATAAAGAAAGGAAATTATAGTTCTGAAAGATTGCATGCTGCTTTGCTATCTTATTTAATAAATTACTTTACAGAGGAATAAATAAGCACTTGTTTCTGCATAGAGTGTGTGCTCCTAGTTAGTATTATAATTATAGGATCATAGATACATTTGGACTGGAAAGACCTTTAAAGGTCACTTAGTGCAACCCTCCTGCAATGAGCAGGGACACTTCCTACTAGAGCAGGTTGCTCAAAGCCTCATTCAACCTGACCATGATTGTGTCCAGGGATGGGGCATCTACCACCTTGCTGGGCAACCTGTTCCAGTGTCTCACCACCCTCATAGTAAAAACTTTCTTCCTTATATCTAGTCTGAACCTACCCTTTTTTAGCTTAAAACCGTTACCCCATGTCCTGTCACTACAGGCCTTACTTAAAAAGTCTGTCCACATGTACACTGTGCTGAAGCTTTGGACAGAGGAAGTTTCTTGGCATATGTACTGTGTAGTTGTGCTTATATTTCAGGAAGAATAATTAAGTCAAATCACACTTAATACTGGTAAAAATATAGTGGATTCTCAGAAAAACTATCCATGATTGCTGAGGGCATGAGGCACAAATTGGAGAACATTTCATGCTAGACTCTGAACATTATTGCACATATGGTTTCAACATAGTACTTACAGTTTCAGCAAAATTTCTAAACATATTTTAATATGTCTTTAAGATCAATATGATAAATGTTGGGTTTTTTTTCCCCAGATTGAAATAGATAATGGTGATGAGTTAACTGCTGACTTTCTTTATGAAGAGGTTCATCCAAAACAACATGCTCACAAACAAAGTTTTGCTAAACCAAAAGGTCCTGCGGGGAAGAGGGGAATACGAAGACTGATTAGAGGTCCAGCAGAGACTGAAACACCTAGTGATTAGAAACTGTTGTTTGCATTTGTTATAAAGCATTACAGTAAGAAATGAAATTCTGGCTTTTGGTAACAAACTGAAATCATTCCATTCATAGATGCTAGGAAGAAAAAAAAGCTCTTTTTACCCTTCTGACCTCAACACTTTTTATATTGTTACATGATTATATTTCTGTTGACCATGTTTCATGACACGTGGAAGAGCTAATTATTTTAAAGCTGGAAGAGGACAACTAAACTTGTACCTTTATTTTAAATTAGAATCCATTATTTAATAGCTGTACATGTGATCATAAACTTTGCAGACATAAGACTATGAAGCCCACGTATTCTGTGGGTAAGTTGCAGCTATGTGCCTGGGTAACAAACCTGTATTCTTATGAGTAGCCTGTTGAAACCCTTAAGATGTACCATGTGAGGAGAGCTGAAGGACTATATAGCATTGTCCCAGATAAATCTGTATTTTCCCTTGTAGCTCTTATGGACAGTAGTACAATAGAAGGTTTTCTTCTGCTCTTGACATGATGCATGGTTGGGTTTTGTTGTTGTAGTTTTGTTTTGTTTTGTTTTTTAATAGAAAAGATACATTAATTAATGGATAACTAATTTTAGTTTAAGTGTTCCAGAATAGCAGGATATTTTCCCATGCAAAAGCACATTCATTTCAAATTTATAACTCATTTTGTGGAACTGTCTTTTAAAGAAATCTGACACAAAACCACTATAGCTTTTCCAGACTTCTGTACCACTGGTAAGCCTTTACATATCAAGTACTGAATGACCAAGTAAAAGGTGATTAAAAGTGCATGAGTTAGTATACTCAGTAGATTATGGAGCTGCTTTCAAAGCAATATGCTTAAAGTTTCTAATAAATAATTGATTATCTGTGCACTTGGATCTAAAACTCCACAAATTCAGTAAAAATTGCAATTGACTTGCTTCATAATGGCAAGTTATTCTTGAGATTCTAGTGTGTTTGCAGTATCAACTGCAATTTTAACTTTCAAGGTATTCTGAAAAGGACTTTTCCTAAATGTTTGAACATTAATAGTAACTTAAATCTGTAACAAAATCCAACTAGGTCTTGAATAACTGCTGGCAGCAACTGGTTAGGATTTTGTCTTCTCTCCGCCCTGCCCCCCCACCCCTTCCCTTCTCCAAAATACTGAAATCAGCCAGAATAGTCTAAACTTGATTGAACCATGAGTAGTGTGTTTAATAGGAAGAGGAAAAATAGATTATTTTAATAAGTGGATTAAAGAAGAATTAGATGTGGAAATCAAGTATTGGATGACCTTAAATATTTAAAATTGTGTAATGAGGCAAATACTAGTGGACAGATTATATTCCCCAGTGGGGAATTGCTTTTTAGTGTCTTGTATGTGAGCTTTGTGGTTTTTGAATTTTTTTTTTTTTTAAAAGCTACGTGGGAGTTGCAAGCCTTGGTTCACTGCAGATTATCATAGGTGCTGGGTGTACACGTTATATAGCTGAATCATGTGTTCACCTGGTGGAAGATAGATTTTTAACCTAGTTTTGTAGTGAAATAATGCTTTGACACTACTAGTTCCCGATAAAATTTGTTTCCTCTTATATATTATTTGGAGATAGAAGCTTGTTATTGACATCCAAGATTGCACTATATAATGTGAAGATTGCAATAGTCATTGAGTTTACTGTGGTTTTTTATATGCAATAGAAATTTGACACCTCAGCTTTTTTCATTTAATCTTAGACACTACATTAATCCAATTCAATAGCTCTTGATCCTCAGCTAATCTCCTGCATGCCCTTAGCTACTGTTCTTTTCCTGCCTGTTGCCTTCTCCCTCTAGGCCAAGGGGCTGTTTTTTTGAAGTATTTCTTCTATGTACTACCTGTCAGGCAATTGTCATTGTTTTTTAAACATGGCTAATGTGTGTGTGGCTCATTGTGCACTGTAATTCAATGTATTTTTAGTTGAACTTTGAATCTTTTCAGCACACCTAATTCACTTTGGTTTTTGGTTTTGTGGGTTTTTCTTTGTTTTTAAGGTTGTTTTTTTTTTAAGGAAAACCTTTCAGTGTAGCAGCTAAAAATCGTTGCTAGAATGTTCTTAGTTTGAATTTAGTATTCCTGCCCATGGGTCAGCCATACCAAGAGTGCACACACATGTTTACACTTAGTTGAGCCAGTAAAGAAGTTCAGCTTTTTAATACCAAGTGATTTAAATAATGAACAGTTTGACCTGATACAGTTATGTGCATGTTGTGTTTTGTATTGCTTTTTTTTTTTTTTTTTCCCTAATCCTGCCCTAGATGATGGAGGGTAGGAGGTATAAAGCTTAATCTGGAGGAAGGAGAGAGCTGGTTAAGTGATTACACGAGGGAGTTTATAATGAGCTGCTTTAGAGTTTGGCCCAAACCAGACATTGTAAGTTACCTTACTTGAAAACATTCTATGTGGGTGTACAAACCCCTGACCAGACAACAGAGACACGTCTTGAGCATATTTCCCCCTCACCTTTCCCCTAAAAGAGAATTGTATGAAGCCTTGCACTGCCGACAGCCTCTCCCGTCGTCTTGTAGCTACTCCCCTGACAAAGCAATAAGAAGCATCTGATCTTTTTGTGAGATCTGTCATGTTTACATCTGTATAGTTGCCTCACATAACACTACTACTGTTAATGAATGTTCAGAGCCAGCGCAAAATGAGGGCATTAAAGTTACTCCTTTACTGTCTCTGATAATTTAATAATTGAAAGTGTCCATTCAAAATTGTTGTTGGCCTTCATAAAGCCCAAAAGCAACACAGCTGCTTGCAGCTAACTCATAAGCTATTAAATAGTTAATTAACATGACAATTATTTTTGAAATATTTATGTTGCAAGGGAGGGAGAATTCGATCTTTTAAAACACTCCTATCAGAGGTTTGTGAAACTAATCAAGGTAATAATCACTCTGTTACTTCGATAACACATTGATAAATGAAACTTTTCATTTACAGTGTCTATGTATTCAATGAAAACCACCTTAATTAACGAAGTTTACCTTATCTATTTTGTAATTTACTTTATAAATAAAGATTGATGCTTTAGTTTGGTGATGTCTGAATCATTTCATACTCTAACAATTCTAACAGATTCTAACATCAGGATGTGTAACAGGCAGGTCCCATAGGACTAGAAAGCAGTACAGAAAAAGAAATTGCAGGGTAAGAAGGGAGGTGGGCAGAAACAAGAATTCCTGGCTTTTGCTATTGGAGAAAAATCAGTGTGTTAGAAACAGCTACTCTCCTGTTGCTTCATGGAAGCAGCACAGAGGCCTCTGTAACAGGATCCAAGTGTATTCGTCTCGTGAGGTTTTTCTGCTTGCAATAATAAGCCTCTTGAAAAAGTTCTTCTATCCTTTTAAAATATTGAAATAGTTGATTAGTGACTTTACACTTCTACCTGTTGTTACTTGGTCGGCATGAGGTAGTATAAACTACTCAAATGATGTTCCATTAATTTTTGTCTAAACTGAAAGTAGTTTGCCTGAAGTCTTCCTGTAGCCCTTAAAATTCAAGGTGAAAAGAACATTTAGTGGTTTGGCTTTTTAACTGTCCTGCCAGCATACCCATAGGGAAATGGGTGATACGGCAATTATGCAGTTGGCAGAAGGAGATTTGAAGATGTGTTGAACTAGGATTCAAGGGAATAATTGTAATGCAAAATGCTATACGGGAAGAAAGCTGTTCCTCCAGGAGAAGAAGGAGCAAGGTAAGAGGAGGGAATAGGCTAGGCCTTCATTTGGCTGTGATTATCAGCAGCAGTTTTATTTGCCTTTTGATCAGTGAGTGTTAAATAAAACTCTCAGCTGGCCAGCCCAAATATACAGATGGGACAGTGCTTCCCATTTTAATATGAAGCATGGTGGCTGATAAAATGTATGCTGGCTCAAAAGGGAACTGGACAAACTGATCAGAGGAAATTTGATAGAGGCTTAGTAACTAATGAAGACCTCAGATGATGCTTTTCAAAGTTAAGGAGCCGCAAACTGTGCAAAGCTGTCATATTCCAATGCAGTATCTCTACATACATGCATTCTTTCCTCAGCAGTCACTAATGGCTCGTGTCCCAGCAGGGGGCTGTGCAGATACCTCTGGGCCCCCCCCCCCCCAGCCACTCTGTTACCTCTTGCTGTAGCCATGGTGAAAAATGTTGCCCTTCACAAAAGGCTTTCTCCTGTGTGATCTGATCTAGGTGTTCCTGTTCCGCCAGGGGGATTGGACTAGCTGATCTTTCAAGGTCCCTTCCAATCTCTAACATTCTGTGATTCTTTGGCCCATTAACATTTGCTTTTATCTTGCTGCTTTTTTCTGGAGCCTTAGTTGGAATTGCAATAAATCACTCTTACTATTTTTCATTCATACCTCCTTCTGGGGGGTGACTAAGTTGCTTTATATTACAGTTCTATAGATCCTTAACATGCAAAAGGTTGGCTGTTTCACTGAGGTCAGTGGTCCTTAGGTGCCCTCCACAGCACCCTCCCCCCCCACAAGGCAGGATGTAGCCCAGCCATATTAGCCCTGTCTCTTTCCCAAGGACATCTCCCATGCAGAGGAGCTCTCTTGACCCACCAGGCACTGCAGCAAAATTTCTCTCACTTCCAGCTCTGTGGAACTAGATCATCCCTTTGCTCACAAACAACTTGAATGACTCAAGTTACAATTTGTTCTGGAAAGCTTTTACTATAGTAATTAAGACAAAAGTACAGATCCTAGGACAGTTTAATGTTTTTGCAGGGAATAAATTAAACAGAAGTCAGCTACTCTTATTCCCTTCTATTGGGTCTGTCTGAGCTGGAGTCAGTATCCCCACAGCACCCTCCCAGTGCTGAGTGTCACCCTGGCAGCCAGCAGGGGGTGTGTAACACAGCTTGGGAGGGGGCGGAGCCAGGACAGCTGACCCGGATTGGCTGGTCCAGACCATGTGCCATCATCTCAGCCATAAAAGCCAAGGGCAGGGAGGAGGTGGGGGGCATTTGTTCCTGTGTTTGTCTCCAGGAGCAGCTGCTGCACATCCTGAAGCTCTGCTTTCCTGGGAAGGGGCTGGACATTGCTTACTGAGGGGAAGCAGAGAATAACATCTTTGTTTACCTTTTGTTTCTGTGCGTGGCCTTGGCCTTTGCTTTAATTAAACTGCTTTGATCTTGACCCACGAGTTTTTCACCTTATTCTCCCCCTTTATTTTGCTGCAGGTGGAGTGATGGAGGGGCCTGGGCATCCAGCCAAGGTTAACCCATCACA